CACTCTGTGACACAGAATGTTGGACTAGATGGGCCATTGGCCTGATCCAACCTTGGCTTCTCTTATGTTCTTATATGGAGCAGAGGTCCATCAGGGGCTATTAGCCACAAGGTATAGATAGAAACTCACAGGCTGGGGCAGGTGATGCTCTGTATTCTTGGTGCTTGGGGTGGCAACAGTGGGAGGGCTTCTGGTGTCCTGGCCCTACTGCTGGACCTCCTGATGGCACCTGGTATTTTTGGCCACTGTGTGATGGAGTGTTGGACTGGATGGGCCATTGGCCTGATCCAAAATTGGCTTCTCTTATGTTCTTATATAGAGCAGAGGTCCATCAGGGGCTATTAGCCACAAGGTATAGATAGGAACTCACAGGCTGGGGCAAGTGATGCTCTGTATTCTTGGTGCTGGGGGGGGGCAACAGTGGGAAGGCTTCTGGTGTCCTGGCCCCACTGGTGGACCTCCTGATGGCACCTGGTGTTTTTGGCCACTGTGTGACACAGAATGTTGGACTAGATGGGCCATTGGCCTGATCCAAACTTGGCTTCTCTTATGTTCTTATATGGAGCAGAGGTCCATCGGTAGCTGTTAGCCACAAGGTATAGACAGGAACTCTCAGGCTGGGGCAAGGGATGCTCTGTATTCTTGGTGTTTGGGGGGGGGGGGGCAACAGTATGAGGGCTTCTAGTGTCCTGGCCCCACTGCTGGACTTCCTGATGGCACCTGGTATTTCTGGCCACTGTGTGACAGAGTGTTGGACTAGATGGGACATTGGCCTGATCTAACATTGGCTTCCCTTATGTTCTTATGTACATTCAGTGTCAGGATTGAAAATAAGCGCGCGCTTAGCCAAAAGATATACTTGATTCAAAGGGTCAGGGGATGGTCTTGGGCCAGTCAGAAGAGAGGCAAACGCCCGCCTAAGCTAACCGGCTATACATTCCCAGAGAACAGACCAAGAAGGTACCAAGGTCACAGTCTCAGGCCACAGGGGTGATAAAGAATCGAAACCCTAACATTCCAAGCCAAGCGTAACTCATCCAGCAGCAAGCATCCCCCCATCCCAACCATGGCAGCTACATAGCTGACACTCACTCTAACTCAGAGGGAACACTGGTAGGGGGTGTCGGAAGTATTGGGGGGGCTCTGCCCGCATTTCAGAGCGCACGATTTCTATGCTTCCCCTGGCCTTTTTATTTATATATATATATGTGTGTGTGTGTGTGTGTGTGTGTATGTATATATATATATGTGTGTGTGTGTGTGTGTGTGTATGTATATGTATATATGTATGTATGTTTGTTTGTTTGTTTTGGTAATTATTTTTACATCATGTAGAACCATCGGTTCTCTCCTTTCTCAGAACTCCTCACCGGTAAACTTTCCGAGAACCCAATTTGATGCGGTAGCCGGGTCCATACGCACGTATGTGTGTGTGTGTGTGTGTGTATGTATATGTATATATGTATGTATGTTTGTTTGTTTGTTTTGGTAATTATTTTTACATCATGTAGAACCATCGGTTCTCTCCTTTCTCAGAACTCCTCACCGGTAAACTTTCCAAGAACCCAATTTGATGCAGTAGCCGGGTCCATACGCACGATTGACCTCAGCGTGTGCTGGAACGGGGAGTCACTGTGCAATTTGTTTCTTAAATGAGGCCGTCCCCAGGGGCCAAAACCTTGTTTTTTAAAAAATCCCCTTTGTAATAAATATGTGTATATTTTTGTACATCTGTAAACATTTAATGTTTTTAATTTGACTGACAGAATTGTTGGGCCTGTGCATACAGATCCTCTTAACCTTTAAGTCCTCAGTTCAATTCAGTTTGGGTTTCAGTCCCCCTTCCCCCTTTTTCATTTTCAGTTGTAATCGTAGAATCATAGAATGTTCGAGTTGGAAGGGACCTTGCAGGTCATCTAGTCCAACCCCCTGCACTCTGCAGGAGCACAGCCGAAAGAGAGCCCTACAACTCAGCATAAAACATCAGGGTGGGGGATGGAACAGCCCCCAGATCTGTAAGAAAGCTCCTGGCCTCATTTTGGCAGCCAGACCAGACATGGGTGTGCTGTTGAACACTGCGTAAAGGGCACAGGGCGGGAGACATTGGCACAGTTTGTTCCAGCCTGCCAGATTTACTGATTTCTGTCTCCTGCTTAGACTGGGGGTGGGGGGAGAGGCCTGGTTTTAAGTGCCCTCTGGCTGATTGGCCAGTTTGGTGTAGTGGTTAAGTGCACAGACTCTAATCTGGGAGAGCCGGGTTTGATTCCCCACTCCTCCACATGCGGCTGCTGGTGTGACCTTGGGTCGGTCACAAGTTCTCTCAGAGCTGTTCTCTCAAGGGCAGTTCTCGAGAGAGCTGTCTCAGCCCCACCTGCCTCCCAGGGTGCCTGTTGTGGGGAGGGGGAGGGAAAGGAGATTGTGAGCTGCTCTGAGACTCCGAGTGAAGGGCCGGGGTATAAATCCAATCTCTTCTTAATATCCCAGGGTGGGGTGGGGGATCCTTCAACGGCTCCTCCTTTCTCCAGTATGGACTGAAAGCTCTTCTGAAGCCACTTGCTACGGATTCTCAGCATCAGTCCAGCTAGCTTAGTGCTGGCTGCCCGAAGGAAGAGAAAGGTCTCTTCCCAGTCCCTGCAAAATGAAAACATTGCAAGGGCTGGAACCCTCAAAGACCTCCCACACTCCTGCCAAACACCTGGCGTGCCTTGTACGGAGCAGGGCCCGCTCTCCAAGCAGGGGTGGGGATGCGAAGGTGCCCAGTGCACCCTGGGAAGGAACAGGGAAGGGCTTCTCTCTGTGTGACTGTCCTCCCCGGCATCTCTCCTAGGTGAAGAAGCAGCCAAAGAAACCGCCGTCAGAGCTGGCGAGGAAGCCGAAGGAGAAGAGGGGCCACGGGGACGAGAAGCCACGGAACAAGTGAGTCCCCCCCCCCCCCCCCCAACCCCGGTGGCGGACCTACATCTTTGGGACCCTGAAGCTTGAACTGTTGTGGGGGCCCCCTCTCGACCAGCAACAATAGGGCAACAGGGCTGCAAGCCCCCAAGAAAATGTTGAAATCTGACCAATCACGGGGACATTTTGAGGCCCCTGTGAAACGGCCGTTAGAGCATATCCTAAGGTCAATATGAAGGACTTCCAACCCACTGGCTTATGATTCTGTCACTGAACTAGCCTTAGAGAGAGCCAGTTTGGTGTGTTGGCTACGTGCGCGGACTCTGATCTGGGAGAACCGGGTTTGATTCCCCACTCCTCCCCTTGCACCTGCTGGATGACCTTGGGCAAGCCATAGTTTTGGTAAGAGCTGTCCTTGAAAAAGAGCCATCTCTGTCAGAGCTCTCTCAGCCCCACCCACCTCACAGGGTGTCTGTTGTGGGGAGGGGAAAGGAATGGAGTTTGTAAGCAGCTCTCAGACTCCGAGTGAAGGGCGGGGTATAAATCCAATCTCTTCTCTTCATCTTCAGAAGTATCAGACAAGTAATTCAACAATAAAGTCCCTGGTCTATGGGTGATTTGTGCTTCTAACTCTACTGAGATAGCTTCCACCACTGATTTCCAATAGTTAGAAGCTAGTATACATTCCCACCACATATGGGGGGGGGGGAAATCCCCCTTTCTGTGCCAGTTAGGTGTTGTGGTTAAATGCGCGGACTCTAATCTGGGAGAACTGGGTTTGATTCCCCACTCCTCCACTTGCAGCTGCTGGATGACCTTGGGCAAGCCATAGTTTTGATAAGAGCTGTCCTTGAAAAAGAGCAGTTCCTGTCAGAGCTCTCTCAGCCCCACCCACCTCACAGGGTGTCTGTTGTGGGGAGGGGAAAGGAAAGGAGTTTGTAAGCAGCTCTGAGACTCCGAGTGAAGGGCGGGGTATAAATCCAATCTCTTCTCTTCATCTTCAGAAGTATCAGACAAGTAATTCAACAATAAAGTCCCTGGTCTATGGGTGATTTGTGCTTCTAACTCTACTGAGATAGCTTCCACCACTGATTTCCAATAGTTAGAAGCTAGTATACTCCCTTGGGTAGTGAAGGGCGGGGTATAAATCCAATCTCTTCTTCTTCTTCTTTTACCTCACAGGGTGTCTGTTGTGGGGAGGGGAAGGGGAAGGAGTTTGTAAGCCGCTCTGAGACTCCTTTGGGTAGTGAAGGGAGGGCTATAAATCCAATCTCTTCTTCTCTCTCTCAAAAACAAAAAACTCCCATGGATTTTGTTGAAAAATTCACTCATTGTCACTTCAGGGCCCCTCCACGGTTAGGAGCCCTGAAACTTAAGCTTCATTCGTTTCCTTGTAGATCAGCCCCTCTGCACACACCGTTGCTTGTAAACCTGTTCTTCTGCTTCCTACACAAACTCCTGTCGCATTTCCCCACCTGCTGTGAGGAGATGGTACCTTTTATCACTGCAGACCTTCTGTGCTTTTTGCTTCCCCTCTGGAGGCAGGAGGGGACATTCCCCCAGTTCCTTGTGTTTACTCACCCTTGTGGTTTTCCCTGAACACCTAAAATATAACGGCAGTGTCAGGTAGCCCTGTCATAGGTCTGGAATGTGGAGGGGTGCCCTCCCGTTTTCTGTCTCAGCTCTCCCTGGCTCACCAGCTGTTTGCTATCTTATGCTTGACCTTGTAGATGCTCCAGCTGCAGTTTTACTCGGCTGGGAAAGTTACCGGCTTTCACTTTGCCTGCTTGCTTTGCCCGTGCGCGAGAGAGATATATCCATTGGCTCATGCTTTTACCGGGGAGATGTTTGACTCTAGTATAAGTCAGAGGCCCTAGTATTGGCGGCCATTTCTGACACAAGCTGTACATGTGTCTCTAGTACTGGATTTACCAATAAACAGTTATAAACAGTTAAAATTGGATTTACCAATAAACAGCGCCACTACCACCGCTACCAATGCAGTGGACAACATCGGGGTTAAGGATGGCCCGGGAAGATCCGCCACAATTTCTGCGTGACTGATACCACTGGATTTACCTGCTTGGGATAGGCTATTGATTAACATCATCCCTGGAGAACTGTCTGTTTACCATCTGGCATGTATCCGGAGACCATCTTGTTTTTAAATTGAGTACAACTGTTATTAATGTTTTTATTGTTTTTATCTGTTTTATATGGGCTTTGCCCCTTGTAAGCCGCCCTGAGCCCGCTCTGCAGGGAGGGCGGGGTAAAAATCCCAGTAAATAAATAAACAAATCTTCTCATGAAGCCCTGTGTAGAGTAACCTGACTAAGGACCCTGACACGCAGCATGCAATATTTAGGGCACAGAACCATGCTGAGAGCCTTGGCTTTCCGTGGTGGTAGTGGTGCTGGTATTCTACTAGTCACAGGCTTCCCAAGAGAGAGGTGGGGGGGGGGGCCTGCTTGATGCAGTCTCAGAATTTAGGTGGAAATCCCAGGGGCTGCGTGGGGCAGAGTTTCCGTGCCCTATCCCGCTTCTTCTTCCCCAGGAGCGAAACAGGAGCACGTTTGCAGAAGAATAAATGTTGTGGGGTCATTCATGGAGGCTCCAGCTTGGGGGAGGGAGGGAAGAGGGTTTCGCTGGCCCGGTTTCTTACTGCATTCTCTCCACACGGCCTTGCCTGTAGCATCCAGCCTGTGGTCCTCATGCAGTTGAGACTCTGTAACTGTAACCCTCTTTTTTTTTTAACCCCCTTCCCCAGAGCACTGAGAGCAGAACGAGGCAGGAAAAAGCCCGACATGATCCCCGAGAGACGGCTGGAAAAGAAAAAAGGTGAGAGGGGAGGGGATAAGGGAGAGGTCTAAGCAGGAAGTTGAATCGCAGTGACGCTTTATGGGGGGGGCACATAGGGGAGGGGGCAGAGCTTCTGAGGCTGAGACCCGCCGTGTGCAAGGTGTCTACCCGCTCTTAGCTCTCTGTGGAAGCACGGCACGTCGTCGAATCCAGCAGCAAGATCTGTTGTGGCCACCGCTGGCTCAGTTGCCGCTTCTCACAGCTCTTCCACAGGCCCTGCTTAGAGCGCAGGAGTCATTTCCTGCAGGAGCGCACAGGAGGGGAGCTCCAGCAGTAAAGAGCCCAGGGGGTGGGCACATGCAACAAGCCCCGCCCCCTGCTCCCAGCAGCCCTCAGTCAGAGCAAGAAGCAGCCAAGTAAGTTGCAGAGCTCCCCCCAGCCCCCTGGTCCAAAACAGTCCAGTGGCACCTTTAAGACCAGGTTTTATTCAGGTACAAGCTCTCCCTCCTCTGTGAGGGCAGATCTGCGCGTTCCCCTGCCCCCTCCAATAGCTAGCAATCCAAAACAGTTCAGTGGAGCCTGAGCGGTGGGTGTTGCCTTCTGACACACTTCCGGTGATGTCAGGGGGCGTGGCATATGCAAATAAGTTAAGCTAATGAGTTATCAGAGCGCCATCCGGTCAGCCAGTACATGGGACCTCAGATAATCGGTAACAGGTGATGCAGTTGTGTTTTAGCCCCAACACGTGTAAACTGCTTAGGTAGCCATGCTAACAATTCAGCCGTTTCTTAAAAAAAGGATCATTGTTCAGTTTGGAATTGCTTGGGGGTGCAAAGACCTTGGCTGCCTCGAAAAGGCCGATTTGAGCTGTTAAAGAATTAAGCACAGGGAATCCAACCAAACTGGGTTTAGGGCGATAGAGCGGGACAGCCTTCTTGCTTTTTGCTCTGAGTTTGGTCGCTCCAGTCCTGTAAACCGCGGCTTAAACTGGTTCAGGGGCTGATGGCCTTTTAGTTGAATCTCCATGGTTGTTTGCCTGATTTGTGCCGTATTTGGGATACCTCATTTTCTTTCTGTGCTTGAACCACTCGTCTTTTTTTGCAGCTGCACCAGGTATGTGAGATCATTAACATTTTACCTGTTGGGATGTATTTCACGCTATTTTCCCAGTTGGCTTTTTATGCTGTTGGATGCTCATACGAACATTACCCTACTTATTATTTGATCAGATTACACAGCTTCAAAGAAGCCTTGTCATGAACGTGGACTGTAAGAATTCGTCTCACTTCCAACTCAGTTACAAGTCATGAGGAGGCTTGCTGATATATGAGTTATTTGAATACGCTTCTATTTGGTGTAGTGGTTAAGTGCGTGGACTCTAATCTGGGAGAACTGGGTTTGATTCCCCACTCATCTACTTGCACCTGGCTGAATGACCTTGGGCAAGCCGTAGTTCTTATAAGAGCTGTTCTTGAAAAAGAGCAGTTTCTGTCAGAGCTCCCTCAGCCCCACCTACCTCACAGGGTGTCTGTTGTGGGGAGGGGAAGGGAAAGGAGTCTGTGAGCCGCTCTGAGACTCCTTTGGGTAGTGAAGGGCGGGGTATAAATCCAATCTCTTCTCTTCTTCTTCTTCTAATTGGCAATTACCTTTATATTAATGGGAAGTTGTTTTGTTACACCACTGAAGAAGGCAGTTAACAGAAACGTGTTGGGTGTTTTCTGCTATATCATACTCTTTGACCAAGTGCACATGTGCAGTAGAGCAGTTTTTATGGTGTATGTCTGATTTATGGATAAGAAACTCGTTTTTTAAAAAATTATTTATTTTGAGTTTTGCTTAATTAACCATTTTTTACGATCTGTTTTGCAGAACCGACAACTGAAGAGAAGCTCCAAAAGCTACACAGTGAGATCAAGTTTGCTCTCAAAGTCGATAACCCGGTAAGGGAGAGTCTCCTTGTTCAGACCTTGGTTTGGGAAGCCCTCCGGGCAGGTCTCTAACTGTACCAATACTGTTAGTTGCTGTAGATTTTCCGGGTTGCGTGGCTGTGGTCTTGGCATTGTAGAACCTGACGTTTCACCAGTAGCTGTGACTGGCATCCTCAGAGGTATAACACAGAAAGATGGTGTACTCTCTGTGTCAAAGTGAGGAGAAAATGGTAGGCAGGTAATTTATATCTACTCCAGAAGGTGGGATAGGGCTGAGTCATTATCTTGTAGGAGTTCTCACTTTTGCAGGAGTATAACATGCAGTTGTGGACAAGTTTACATCAGGACCACATAGCATAGCATTCAGACAAGAATAAAAGAACATGGAAGACACTGCAGACGTGGCCAACCTGAAAAATCAGCAGTGGCTGAACATAGCCTAACTCAAACAGGACACAGTATTTTGTTCCAAGACACTGAAAGGCTGGACAACACTTCCAATTACCATGTCAGATTACACAGGGAAGCCATTGAGATACATAAACACAATTTCAACAGGAAAGAAGAGAGTTTAAAAATATATAGGACATGATTTCCTGTCCTGAAAAACACAAAAGGCTCTACATCTGACAATAGCACTACAGATAAGATTAGAATTTCAACAGCCAATCCACATGCAAAACAACCTCCTCCGGAAACAGGAAACCTCCTCAGGAAACAATCCATATACAAAAGAACCTCCTCAGGAAAGCTCCTCCATTAGTATG